GTGAATTTTCAGACAATTTGAAGAATCTAAATCTCCGTGATAAAATCGGAATAAATAATAGTAACAAGCTCGTAGATATCGCGGAAACATCCAATGTATAGCAACCGCCGTAAAGATGGTGGCGTTGAATTATTGTTAACCTCGTAAATGCAGTCCAGCAGCTGTCGTCGCGTTCGTCGCTGAATGCGACAAGGCATTCCGGTAAAATATGCGAATGCATAATTGAAAAACGGCGCGGAACGTTGAGAAACCGCGGCTTTTTCGCCGTTTCTCGAACTGCTGCAAGATGGGATTAAACTGCGCCGTCACAGGAGTAAGCGCCGCACTGAATAAAGATCGTAGTGTCATTCGGAACCCAGGAGAATAATTCGTTAACTTCACTTACGATATTCACGAGATTTTGAAATCTATTTTTATGTCGGCGTGCAAAGTCAATTTTTGCATTTCTAAGCAATGTAAAATAGAAAATATTTTCACTCTTTATTCTTTAATATAATATTCTCATTTTGAAATAAAACAAGAAACATAAGAATTTGTTCAATAGTCAATTAACGTTTTTAATAAAAAAAGAGAAAATGTACTAATCAATGCATAGAAAAAAGCATGGATATATTATAAATAAATATAATGATATATAGTACAATTTTCAATAGTGAAAATAATTATTAACACATATTTTTAGAAATTTAGAGTAAATTTTTAATGTATTTTCATATTTAAAGCAACAGTTGTTATTCCAAGTATTTTGTCGATAAGAAGTGACAAAAATAAAAAGTCAATTTTAATTTAATTATTTAATTAAATTAAAGAAAATTATGATTTATAGATTAAATTCTATTCAAAGGTATATTGCAAAGCATTTTGTAATTACAACTAGTTAAATCAAAAAGCATAATTGGCTGCACAGAATCTAAAAATATGATATCAAAACAAATCAAATTATCAAAGAATTGCTATTTAATAATCACTAAAATATTCATGTAAAAGCGAACAAAAATAATCGTTGAGGCGATAAGTACCTAACACAGTCCCAATTAAAGACAATCAATATTTTCTCTACGATAAAAAGCACTCGATTGCATCTGGCTTAAATTAAGTGATTCAAATAATGATTTAAATGATAGGTCATAAAATTCTACACCAGCTACGAATCGCATAAATTTCACTCGTCATTTGAAAGAAAAAGAAAGAGAGGGTAAGAGAGAATGAGAATGTGGGATTCAGCAGGATGAAAAGTGAAAGATGAGGGAAAGTAAAACGAATGTCGACCCAGCCGGAGAGAAACGAGCGATTTCGAGTCACCGGCGCAAAGACGGCACCGCGGTCCTCCGCTATATTAGCAAAGTTTTATGACGTATGTAGCTGCGACGTGCAGTCACGCCAAGGGAGAATGCAAGTTTTCGTACCCCTCGCTCTCTATGGTGCACTCCGCCACCGTTATGAGCCCCATGGGTTTCCGGAGACGAAATGATGTTGGGGATGGACCGCGGACCGACTGCCAAAGAAACTTATGTGAATCTGAAAATTCTGAGATACACCTCGCGCGAATAAATCTATGATGGTTCCATATCTTCAATATTATTTTTTTTTTCGATGTAGAGAGAACAATTTAGAATATAATAATAAGTATGTTTGCGCGAAATATTGAACATATGCATATACAATATACTTCTGTTGCATTATTAAAGATATAGTTAGGAGAAACTTTTCTTCGATTTATTTAGGAATAAATGAAAAAGTTTAGTGGGATTTATGATCGTGTTCTTGACGCTATTTAAATTATTTTTATTTTTACCTATTTATTTATTTATTTGACTTTGTTATTAGGGTTTAGATTGCGAAAGACACATTAGTTTTGTCTCGATTTTTTAACGCGTAGTGACTAAGATTCTTGCTAACTGTTAACATCTTTTTATTTCTTGCTTACTTCTGTCAATTTTACATTGTTCATTAAAACAATGGTGAATGTTGTCGGAGGTATGCAGTGAATTTGATTTATTGTATTAATTTATTTAGCATTTACTTTTGGTATGTAACATTTTTTTGTTTATGAATTTATAATTAATTATTGCGATAAATGTATTAAAATTATAATTATTTTTATGTAACTTTTTATAGATTTATTTGAAAAGGGCTGCAATGACAGCCGAAACGTTGTATTTTAACTAATTATCTACAATAAATAATTGCCAGTTTGGTCGACTTTTACCATTGAGGAAAGATTTTTATTAATTATTACTGGCGAACCTTAAAGATTTTTATCTATGATAAATGAAAAAGATTATATAAAAATGATATTTATTTTTGCTTGAACACCAAATTAAAGAGAGTTTTCTAAATATACCGACGAAATTGTAAAAAGAGAGGAAGCACGGAATAAATTTACTATTGATAATAGTCATATCGCGAGGTCAATAAGTCAACTCGATTCTTCAAATTCGCCTTTTTCTTCGCGATTGTTGCTCAGCGCGATTCTCAATCTATTTATCTATATATATATATATATATCGTACAGTCGCCCATTTCGTACGGATCGAAACTCGCTATCTCTCCCGCAGGCAACGGTAGAAACGAATTCCCGTAATTCTGTCAGACGTTCTCCGTCGAGCCGTTATTTAAAGCCGTCCAACGGACATTCCGTGAACAAAGTTATCAGCTACAAAATAACATTGATATATTATTTGTACTGAAATATAAATACAATTCTTTTTTATTTCACTTTCAAAACGTGTTATTTAATTATTTTAATTAAATCGTTCTAGTTAATTATATATTAAATTCGTTTTATTAAATTTATTATTGATAAATAAGTTGGCGTTGAAACACCATATTTGTTTTTTTTTTTTTTTTTTTTTTCATTTCAATATAAATCAGATCATTTTAAATTAATAATTTTTGCAAATATTGCACTTTATATATTATGAAAGTATGAAAATGCACAAATATATTTACAAATTTATAACATTTGAAATAATACTTATATTTTATCGAATCCGTAATTAATCTCTGTCAAAAGTGGTATAATTTATTTGAAATTTATTATAGTCCTGCTTCGAATGTACAAGATGGTGTTGGGAAATTCTTTGACTAGTGTTTTCGGTGTAGTTTTTTTTTTAAAATCGGACTGGTGTGTAATTTTCTGCCAATGTCATTTCTTATCGATTGTGATGCATCTCTTCGACACCCTGTATGTTGCTAAATGCGCGATGCTTTCTGCTCGCAGCATGCATTTTACACAGTCGTACAGATTCCCGGGGCGATTTCCAATCTGTGATCAAGCGCCGGTCCATTTGCAACTTGATGGAGGTATTCTGGATTCAAATTGGCGTGTGTTGTTCCGTTGACCGATCCATCCTTTTTCCGTGCAAATTTTACGCGACGACAAAAATCGCGATTATAAAAATCCCATTCACGTTGAATATTCATTGCGAGCAACATTAATCGAAGAGAAGAATTCATTATTGCTTTTGATGATTATGTTCAGTATGTGAATGAATATCATCATCGCCAATCGTTTTGTTCGTTACTTTATGGACAATTGTTGTAGAAAATTACTATGTCAAAATATTAACTATTTGACACATCAAAGCTATTTCAAATCTAAATTAAAACTTATGATTTAAAATAAACACGATGACTTCTTATTATATTTATTAAGAATTTATTAAGACGACTACAGATTTACTAATTTAAATTATTATTTTTAAAATTCAAAAGTTTACACGTATTTTCTACTTTCAGTGAATGGAAACTTCTTACTTACAAAGGAATAAATTTTTTCTTCCATAGTTATAATAAATTTTCACTCGATTAACCAATTGATATTTTCTTCAAATCAGCGGATTTGAACTAAATAGCTGTTTACTTGAGATTTTTGAAGCTTGTAGAAATACTTTACTCGCGACACTGCGTTTGTGAGCCGACTATGAATCACAGAGTTTTAATTACCCTGCGTGCATTTTAAGCAGGCGCATTATGTGTTCCGGACACGCGTAAGGCTGCATTATCGCGTGCAATTATCCCTCGGAGGGAGATCGATTGGCGATCTGCGCTCGCCCAAGATCTATCGCGAAGGGTGAAATTCGGCAAGTGGATTAATCGCGATAATCCTCCCTCGTACGACGCCGAGATCTGCTCGGGGAAATTAAAACTTTCGCGAGAACGCGTTATACGTCGTCCCCTCGCATCGACTTCCGGTCGGGTGCACGCACGTGCGTGTGCATCGAATCGCCGTCGTTCACGCGAAGCTTTCCTTGAACCCAGACCCGGATCTTCGCCAGATCCTACGAACTCACCCTTACAGTCGTAATCTTACCGATTCGACGAGAACGACAAAAGTCACTTGGGCTTTAATTAATGTATAATTCTTCATAAACGTACAAGAAAAAAATAATAATTTCGAGAGAAAGAGATTACATCACGTTTCGCTGGCTTGTGCATTCTAATCGGATTGCATGTTGCTCTTACCGCTGCATTTTTAATATTGCGCTGCAAACTTTTAAAGTAATCGCAATCTACGTCGTGTGTGAGAAGTGTGTTAACTTCAAAATATCCAATCGTACTATAATAAATAAATTATAACTAAAAAGAAAAGTTTACACATATTTGTGAAAATTACAGGAAAATAAAATATATCAAGCGAATAAAATAGAAAAATGTGCTAAAATGTAAGTCTTTATTTGGTTGACATGTATTTTCAATGTACAAACATAACGTTTCAAGTTTTCAAATGAGCAGTGCATCGCGTTAAGCTTAAATTGTTCCAAGGCGGGAAGAATCTAAAAAAAAATTAACGATACAAAATTCTCGCACACTTATTCAAACGAAAGAAGAAATAATAAATAAAATAATAAAATGTTATTTTTCTGTTGAAAAGACGCGCGTTTCCTTGTCTCGCGGTTTCTCGAAAACTGCATCCCCGTGGGCTTATCCAGCTCTCTCGCCAAAGCTTTCAATTTTCGCGCATGCAGTGCGAAAAGGTCCATCCGAGATTCGCTTACCTTGACACGTAGCAGGTGTTGCAGACTCTGAGCCTGGCTGCTATTTAAAGGTGGATTGTCGGTCCCGAGTCGCGCCACTGCAATCACGTTTTCTCGGGTCGCGTTGTACAAGAAGAGCGTGCATACTGTCTGTAAATGGAAGAACGTGAATTGGCCTCGCGATGGATATCTGGTGCCGGGTCGGCGTGTCATCCGTCGCGATGCACCGACGGAATTTATTAAATTCCGCGCTGCCCGATTTACTTTTTAATCGACGCGCAGTTTGACGAGCCATTACATTTCTCATTGACATTTCTCATTATCGGAATTTCGCGCTTCCGATCGGAGACGCTGCGCATTAATTGCATTCTGGGAATTTTCCGGAGGCCTTCCTCTCCACCCGAGCCCGTTTCCCTACGACGCCGAGTAACACGAGATGTAATAAACTCTCGGAATAATCGACTGATTTTAGATTCTTTTCTGGGTCGTTACAGTTCGTATATATATATATATATATATATATATATATATATAGCGCGGATTGTTCCAAAATAATTTTGATTTCGGAATTTTCGACGATATTTCTGTCTAAGTGTGAACCAAGTTGTGAGATTTCTCTCCTTGTTTTCCAAAGGATGACAATTCTGTCATCCAGCGAGAATTAACGGTTAGTCGGAGCGACATGACAGCGACGTCTCTTACCTGATTATTGACTTCCTCTCTCATGAAATTGTCGAGAGATGATACCGCGTCCAGCACGGTTACATTGTTGTGCTGTTTCAATAAGGTCTCGTCTTTCTCGCTGTACCCCAGGAACATGAAAACCCCGTGCGGTATATTGTATGTTTCTGCGAAAATAATACAATGCTGGTATTAAACGACACGAAGACAAATTGTTTCCTCCGCCGGATTATTTCGAAATCGTTGTATTCTACCTTGCGATCAGAATTTGCAAGAAAAACCCATCATTATTAAGCACGTTTAATAAATCATCAATAAAAGTTATCAGCTTGAAAAGAAATAAAACAAAGGCAATGCCTTAATTTAACTAAATTTTGAATTTGCATAATCGAATGCGAATAAAAAAAAAATTAATTTAGAGTCTTTTCATAGCTATTGATTTTTACAATAAAGAAAAAGTATGCTACAAAAAGTGTAATAATAGCTTGAAAACTATGTACCTATGTTTGCAGCTTCTGAAAAATAAAAGTCAAAATCTAATAAAAGAGTTGTTCAAATAATCGATGTTTTATTTAACTATAAACAGTTAATAATCAGCTTGAACAAAAAAATAAAACAAAGTGAATGCCTTAATTTGAATAAATCTTGAATTTGCATAATCCGCGAATAAGAGAAAAAATAAAATAAATTTAGATTCTTTTCATAGCTATTAATTTTTACAATAAAAAAATATATATAAGTATGCTACAAAGAGTGTAATAAAATGCTTGAAAACTATATGTTCGCATCTTCTGAAAAATAAAAGACAAAATCTAATAAAAGAGTCGCTGAAATAATCGATATTTTATTTAACTATATTAATTGTGAGAAAGATGATCGCTCACCAGGCGAAGGCCGCATGCATATAAAAGCACCGCTATAGCAAAGGCAAGGACCCCGATGCGCCTGATAAGCCGGCGCTTCGTGGTTGTAGAAAGCAAAATCTGTCTTGCAGGGTGAGGAATCGACGCAGATGGTGTTGCAGACAAGTTGTTCACCCTCGCCACAGTGACAGAGCTCCGAGCATTCAGGCTCATCCTCGCGATATAGCTACATAAATGCGTGTAATATATATTTTAATTAATACATTTATTAATTACTATGTGCATGCATTTTTAAAAAGTGCCTGCCAAAATATAAAAAAACAAAATGTGTTTTTTTCATAATAATTAGTTTCGACATAGGGTAGAGATTATTTTCACGTGTTATATGAAAATCATGACATTAATATGTAAATTATATCGAAATATCTTCTAAATTATAATATTATATAATATTTGCTTTACAATAATAATTTTGATTTAATATATATTTGTATATTATATATATTATGTCATATTTTTATAAATAAATTTATATATTGAAACAATGTTTGTTAAAAGTGTTGAAGAAAAGAGAATGAATAAATTGTTATGTATACTTTGCATGCAGAATAGAATTTTGGTCTTATAAAAACTCTATAGCTTGTTAATAGAATTTTGAAAAAATTGCTCGTTAAAGGGTCAAAGAGATACAATATTGTGACGCGCTAACATATGAGAAAAAAATCACGCTCGAATCGCTCGTTTATAGTAAAATCCGCTTCAACAAATATCCGATTTCCGCTGACACCCTCGTTCGCTTCTCGCGCACAATGGCTACAAAACCTTCGCTTTCCTTCTATCTTGCGAATGTTAGCTCCCGAGAGCAATGACGGTTCGTCAATGACGATCGTAAAAAAAATTGCGAGATTGCTAGTGACTTACCCTTTTGCCTTTGCCCTCTCTTATGTACTGGTGGCTATGTGTCGGCCTTTGAACCACGCAAAAGCCTATAAAGAAAGAGTAACGTGAGTGAGAGAAGCCGTCTTTTCCGTCAGTTTGTTTCTCCACGGCCCTTTATCAACCCCTCCTTCCATTGCATCTTACGCCCGGAGGCGATCTATCTAATTTGCTTCTTGATGCGGCAGACGAAAGAAATTAAAACTGTTTTTTTCCTGAGTTTGCGGTACGCGGAATTTTATTTGTAAAAAAAAAACATCCCGGTTGGATTAAAAAAAAAATACGAATATATAAAGTACATATAATAATTTACCAAGAGCTTAAAAATTCCAAATTTCAAAAATTATTTAACGAATAATATTGAAGAATTAGCATCAGAAAAATGTTTAAGAGTATAAATAGAATTTGCACTGCGATAAGTTTAATTTTCAGCATTAAATATATATAACTATCTCAAATAAAATCGCTGTTATATGAAAATGTATGAAAGATTTGTTACGTGTCAATTATTAGAGATATTAAAATTTAATTCTCATCAAAGTTATATATTTTTCATGAATGTTTCCATAATTCAAAAAATGAGCGTCAACTTGATTATAGCATTGAATGATTAAAATTCAATTATCGAATGTGAGATAACCTAATCACTTATTCTGATCATATAATTATATAATTATATCTGATTATATATAATAATTAAATATATTATATAATTCTGATTATATATAATTATATCTGATCATATAAGATATTATAATAAAGGAACCTATTAATTTTTAAATAGACTCACGTGGCGGCGTCGTAGTGGTTGTAGTAGTACTCGGAGTGGTGCTTGTCGTGGTGGTGCTTGTGATTTCCCAAGTTTCCACAGATTCGGTGGTCGGCGACTTTGTCACTTCCGGTATTTGATTATCTTCCACTTGTTCGACTGCAGTGATCGCCGTCATGCTTGCCGGTGACCTCGTTGTCGTCGTCGCGACTGCCGTCGTCGTTGTCGTCGTTGTCTTCGGTGTTGTGGTTCGCACATGATGGTGTTTTCTGCGCGCGTGATAGTCCTTTTGCGATTCCACTGTAATTCACGATATTTTTGAAATCTTGCGAATTCAAGAAACAAAATCTTAACCGAGACGGGATCGTACAGAATCGAAATTATATAACAACACGAATATTTTAAATTTCAAAGAGAAAAGCTATAAATTTTTATTTTTTCACTTGAAAAGGACCAAAAACAGATGATCGAAACGTTGTGGAAATAAAATAAAAATTTTCTTGGCTAGTTTGGGTCGAATTAAATATATCGTTCCTATTTTAAATACCACTAGCGACGTTTTAAGTATTCAATTTGATTTTATATTTTTTCGTTCACTTATTACAGTATAATTTTTTAGATTTGAAATTCTTTGGATTGAGGAATTCTATTTGAGGAGAAAACTCGCGAATTTCTTCGTTATTTTCACCTATTTGTAAAAAGTTCACGAGTTAAAAAAAATGCAGTCTCTATATAGTACTATAGAGCAAAGATTCAGCTTTAAGTATCCATTCTTAAAATTGCTGTACGATAATTTTTAACGGAGTTATGTACGATTAAAGTGAAAATGACATTTCTTTTTTAATTTGCGATTACTTGACAAGAAAAGATCGAAATTTAAATTTTAAAAAACGATTTTGCAGGGAAAACTCCAGACTTTAACGTAAAAATGTAAAAAAATGTTTTCAAATCTTCTTGTGTATGCAACATGTTTACAAAGTGAGAAAAAATTTTTCATTCCGTTATGGTCATCGTTTTTTGTATGTAAAAATATCAGAGTTGGAGAAAATAAAAATAGCTATGATCTTTCGAAAGTTAAGATTTCAAGCTTTAAAACCATTTTTTAAAATTTAAATTATTTTTTTCAAACAAAATTACAACTATTTAAAATTTGCCTATTTTTGGATAATTTTTTTATCCTTTAATTATTTGAGGAGTGTATATATATATATATATATATATGTGTGTGTGTGTGTGTGTGTATATATATGTATATATATATTTTATAAAAATATAGGAAAACCATATTTTACTTTCTTAATATGTTGAATTATTTAAATAATTAATTATATATAAAATTATCAACATAATACTACCTATTAAATAATTCAGTGTTTATTATTTTGCAATTATTTTTGTATACAATTATTTATTATAGTTTCTGAATCTTATAATAATTCGAATTGTGAGAAATTCTTTTCATAACTTTTTCTTTCTTTTTATAGCATTATTTCACGGTGCAATAATCAGTACGAAAAACTGTCGACTCAAATCGGCATCGTTGCTTTGAAGTATATATAACTCCGGCTTAATACTTTCTCTCTCATACACTCTCTCATAGACTCTCTCATACATTCTCTCGTGCTCCAGCAAATGGACGTGTGGTCGCAAATAACAACCGCTAAGCAATATAAAGTGCCGAACAGAGAGCCTGTAAAATTGCAGTTGAATGTACACGTGTAGCCATCCGACGCGGAAGTATGAAAGTATCGGGAAAGTCGCGCGTCCCGTATCGCCAGCGGCGCAGCTGCTGCGAAATATTTCAGGTACCGGGGGTAGCTCCAGGGTGATTACACTTTCAAGGGGCACCTCGCCCCGCCTCTCCTCTCGCGGGACGCGTACAGCAATAATAGGGAACGTAAGATGCGCGTAATAATATTTTACGAGCTGCAGCAGCGACTTGCAATTTTTTTATTTTTTCGAAATAGATTATACTTGTCAGTATTTATAAAATATTATATTTGCCACTCGAAATAGCGATGATCCAATTTTCTTCATCCTTTTAAGAAATGTAGGTCGCGCGCAAAAATATATTAGAATATATAGTATAATATATACTGTAGAATATATAATAAAATAATTAATTAAAAATATATATATATATACACACACACATATAAAATTTCTCGTATATCGAACAAGCTAAATGAAATATGATATCAACGGAGAATTTGAAAAGGACAAGATTCAGTAATTTGACAATCTCTAACAATCTACGACAATTTATGCAGTTATACACCGTGATGCCACACGCAGAATTGCAATTACACTGGTCGAACAAACGACACAGGTTGGCCCTTATCGATCCTTCTTGACCCCGACGAGTTGTAAAGTACAGCGAGTGCAATGAGCTGCATTCAGTTGGTAGATAAGTCATTTAGATACGAAGAAATAGCATCTCCTACTGCGTTTTAGAAATGCATCGTGTCGAGCGCATCGGCAGCGCTTCATGCACTTCAGTCTGTTATGCGCTATATAATGATTTGTAACGCAGAAAAAATAGCGTACAAACCATTTTTTAGCATATAATATTTCCGTATTAATTTTACTATAATTATTTCAAGTAATCTTTAATGTTGAATATTTTAAAGCAAATCAGAAGCCAATGCAAACTGAAGACTTTAAAAACTAAAAAAATATTAAAAATAAAATTGAAGAATAAAGTTTTATTAGCCAATGCTACATAATTTATAATGTGCCTCCTCAATATTAGATAAATCATTTATCTCTTAAGTCATTAGTTATTAATATATCAAATTCAGTTTAAATTTAAATACTATTGAAGATAAATCAATTTCAATTTAGCAAAAAGAAGACACAGTTTAAAAAGATTATATTACGCGCGAGCGATTTATTCTCTCTTAAAAAAATTATAAAAATATTCTTTCCACACGATAAATAGATGCGAGAGAAATAGACGTTCGTTGTCGCTCGTTGTCATTTTAATGAAGAATCGAATGCCGATATCGTCACGCGGTTTTTCACGCTGATAAAATCATGTTGCGAGATAAAACATTTACAAAGATTAATTAAACTTTAGAACAATATATATCGTCAGTCTGCATTAATTAACATTCTTATATCAGCCAGTATCCGATTATTTTTATTTAGTTCCGATAATTCAATATATCGATTTAAATTAATCTTCATGTTTGCGCACATAGCTTGTTTAAAATTCTTGTTTAGTTATTTCTGTCATAGTAAATTGAAAATATCGATTATTTTTGCTAATATTATATGTATCTTAATAAATAATAAATAAATACAAATTTATATATAATATATAGGTATATAAGTTTATAAATAATTATAAATAATGTATAGGTGAGGCCCTCATATTTAATGTAGGTTAGAGATTAATAATGACTTTTTTGTTAAATTATTGAAAGTACCTTAAGAAAGTAACTGACGAAAGTCATTTTATAAATACAGATTTTTATCCAAGATTTCTCTTCATTTTGTTTTAATTATAATATTAAAAAAGTGTGATAAATTAAAGTAAAAAGACATCAAAATCAATTTTGTAATATTAATATTATAAAATAATATAAAATTAATATTTTAATATTATAAAATATCATATAATAAAAATATTCATAATCTTTTAATCCAAAGTGTGATTTGATGTCTGATTTTTTCATCTAAATTGCTGGAATTGCAGCATTAATGAATGCCTTAAAATTAGTCACTTACCTACGCAAGGATTCACCCAGAGAAGCCGCTGCCAGCCTAGACAGCCGTAAAGTTGATGGATGTCAGTACCTTTGCAGGCGCAATTAGTATGAAGTTCGGTACCAAGAATGCCCAGCATCGCTTTTCTGCATTCCGAAGTTGGTCCGGCGCATTTTTTTGTCACAGTGTCGGCTGCGCAGCTTTGTTCGTAATACTCCAACCTAAGCCTAAACATTGAGGACATTGACCCTTGCGATCAATGAAACTAAATCAAACGCTATCAGCGATTTGTGTAAAAAGAAAATAGAAAATTGAAGATTTTAAAAATCAAAGATTACTTTAAAAAATAAATTGAACAATTAAGACGTCACAAAATTACCCTACCAATTATTATGATAATCATAATAAGCGTGATAATACTGAGGTTTATGTGTAACAAAACGAGATTGATTATTATAATTAAGAAATCACTAAATGCTTTATACAATAGAAGACAAAAAATTAATTTTGCAAAAAAATAAATATAATTATTCTAAACATTGGATAATTTTTTTTAATGCTAAACACGATTGCAAGAATTGATATTAATTAATTAATAATTAAGGTGTTTTATTAGAATGTCGATGATCATATACACTACTGCTTAAAAGTATTTGCCCATCTTTAATTTAAGAGAAAACTCGAAAACTAAATTGTATCTATTGCCTTTCATTGATGTTTATTATTTATGCACTAACAAAAAGTCGTTCTCAAAGCTATATTATAAATATCACTTCATGTTTACTAACAGACAGCTACAAAATCAAATAAGGTATTTATGACTTTTTTCTTAGAGTGAGTATTTTTAAGTTTTTACTACAGGGACGCGTGTTTCATAAAATTTTTCTCATTTGATATTTTAGAATGTAGCGAATATAGATTTGCATTAATTACATCATCTTTCAACGCATATTTTGCAAAAGTAGTTTTCTGTTTTTTGTTCTTTCACGTGATATTAAAATAGTAAAAAAAGGAATTATCTGAAGAGAAGAGAGACATTAATTATCGGACTTCAGAAAGCCGGAAAGAGTAATAGACAAATTTTATTTATTTATAGTCATTTAAACACAATTTACAAAAGTGGACAAATAGCTTTTGAGCGATAGTGTATGTATAACTATAAGTGACGCTTTGATAAATTATTTAGACAAGTGATTTAAATTGACAAATTGATTTTCTACGCCAACAATTAAAATTAGTTAAATATCCGTTGATAAAAATATCTCTGACGTTGATCATTATTAAATGAAATTTTAACAACCACTGAACGTATTTGTGATGTCAATAATCATTAGACGTATGACAATAGATCGAGAATTAATAGCGAAATAATAGATATAATCGCTAGATGTATATATTCTTGATGACCATATATAGTTGATTTGACAATTAATCGATCTGGTCAGACACGTTACTCAAATCTCAGATCTGATAATCTATCTAAAGAACTTTCAACTCTAGACAAACCGCATATAAATACACGTCTCACCTCGCTGGTTCCTACATGTAACTTGGCGCGAGAAAGGATATGTCTTTTCATAAATAGATATTGCCAATAGATGTATAGTAATAAATTGTGCATGAATTTTTATAAATTTTCATAGAAACATTTCAATTGAGATAAATAAGTTTTCATTGGATGATAATTCGTGATACATTAATTATTAAAACATATATATTAAATATAATAAGACATTAATTTTATATTATTAATCAAATTAAAATTAATTAATATATAATATTATACAAATATTATATAATATAATAAAATATTAATAAAATCAATATATAAAAATCAAATAAACTTTATATTAACATTAAGTTTTTAATATACATTAATATTTTAATACATTTTATATTTTAAATAAATTATATTGTATACAAATTTCCATTAGTTAAAAAATTGAAAACAAAAAAATTATAACTTTGGTATTAATAAAATATAATAAATTAATATCAATAAAGACTTTAGAAAAATATAAATAATATAATCAGTAATTTAATTAATATTTAATAAATTATCAAATTAAATATATAATTTAATCAACCAAACTACTTTATACATTAATTGCATTATACAATTAATAATTATATCCGTTTATCTATTAAAATTTTTCTAATTTATTTATTATGGAAAATTATTACGGTGAAAATAATAAACTCTTATCTTGCAAGCAATTATCATAGAAAGCAATTAAATGAAAACTATCGAGACACCTCGAAGCGTGGGAATGTATCGAGGCACAAAGCGTGCATCAATGGTACGCAGCAATCGCTCGTTTCCGTGTCGCCTATAGATATTTCTAAATGGCAAAATTAAAAATGGATTCGCTCGCTCTCGGCGATAAATCAATTAAAACGCCGATTCAAGCCGTGCCTGGGTGCATGCACGCGTGTACTAATTTAATCGATCGGCGAAGCGCGCGTGCATACGATCCATAGCGCGCGTTTGTGCGCCTTCCTTTCGATTATATTAATCCGTTACACCCGCTGTTTTTTTTTTTTAACGTATTCATTAGTGCGAAGTGTTTTACTCTCCAATATAATGTTTCAATTTTCGCTGTTATGTCTGATATTTTACCGTTTAATAAAGATTGAAATAACAACATATTCAACCTGCGATATGTATGCAATATGTAATGTGTAAAATCGTACAAAATATGTACATATGATAATTTTAATATCTACAAACAATTTTAATAAAAACTTTAATAGTAAAAAATCGAACAAAATTTTATATACGTAAAAAAAAAATGTATGGAAAGATTAAAATTTATATAGATAAATCAAAGTGTGTCTAGCAAAGTAATACAAAAATTATTAGATTTCTATAAGAAAGATATTAAATATGTATATAATAAACATTTAATATACCTCTCACATACAACTCATTAAAATTATAATTTATTAAATAATTTGTGAAAGAAAGATAATAAAAATTACATCATTTCGAAAAATAAAAATATTTTTAAATCAAAACAATAATATGCCTCTGTGTTTCTTAATAATCTTTTTCCCATTTTGTTTTCATAAAATTAACAATACTAAATAATTAGAATTATTCGTAAAATTTCAGATTACATGCAGCTGCAGTCAGTAGAGTGATCGGGAATTAGACAGACATGAATAATGCATTTTCTCATTTTACAAACTTGCTAAAACTGACTCGCATCAACAGTTTGAATTATTTGATTGTGTTATCTGATTAGTTATCCCTTTCTGTCCATCTCTCTGTGTGGACTATAATCTCTTACCATAAATACTATAAATAGAAAAAAAGAGAGAGAGAAGAGAGAAAGAGGGATAGAACAAGGCAAATTTAATTAACTAGGAATAAATCTAATCAATATTGTGATACTATTCTAATCTTATATATTTCTATCTTCTACTGACAATGAGTATAGTCTTTATATTTTATAAACTTAACAATGGATTTTTAATTCAAGATTGACGTTTTTAATTGATGATGTCAAAGTATTAATATTTTTTGAATCGCGAATGTTAATTACATGCGATTATTATTCTATCTTTATCCCTTCATTAATATTCATACACCACTTTACGTAGAAGCTAATGAATAGAATTTTCAGACCATTTTGCACGAGATGTTCAGCCCAAGTTGTTAAATTGCAATGTATCTTCCGTAAGAAGCTGCCGCTTTAAAAAATGAACTACTTTTCCTCGCATAAAAGAAAAAGATAAAATTTTTTTCTTGTCCACGCAGTTTTCCGCGAAGATTTTTCATGGTGAGCGAATATCGTATGGTGTAACGGGAACAAAATTGACACGTAAATAATAATGTCCAATTAGAACGAGACGCGATCTTATCTCGCTGAGTAAACCAGAGAAGCTCCCGATTAAACATCGCAAACACGTCGTCCCTTATTTTTTCTCGCGGTTCCACCGGAACTTTTTCAATTTTAAAGTTAAATCGCGATTCAACAAGATTTATTCGCGCGCTAATGCAATATTTCCTTAGCCAGAAGGACATTCATCGGAGGACCAGTGCGACTATAAAACGATGGGTCCTTCATTTTCTGTAACTCGAGTATGTGGCGGTGTACATGAATGTCGTTTTAAGTGAAGCCGCTTAAGCGCTGAGAAAACCATTTTACTCCCCATAGGAGATTTTTCTACCGTTTTTTATCTGGTAAAACTTGGAAATCCGATAAAACTGTTAAAAGATAAAATCATGACATCAAATCTTATTACAAATTTTTTTGAAAACCTTTTAATTCCTAATTCTTTATAATTGCAACAAAAAAGAATTTTACTTTAAGATTTAAATAATCGCTAATTTTTTGGAGAATATTGTTCGTAATTATTAACTCTAAAATTAAAGAGCGTTTATTATAGAATAGTTTTAACCGGTTACATTTTCTTTAGAATTTTTCATCTCACATTTGTGTGTACAAATCCGTCGTGATAATTTATGTAGAAACACGCAATTTTTCTAAAATATGAATGTAATGTACTGCCTCACCTGCAGCTTCTGTTCTCTTTGCAAGTCTCGGCCAGGCTGTGACACGTCGGCATTTCGGCAGCGTCTATGCGCTGCGCGCACGTCGGATGCATTTTTCTTGCGCCACTATGCACTCATCCTTTTTGCTATCCGTTTTCCTGCAACACGAGAGAGAGAGAGAGAGTTGTAATAAGACTTAGAAAAACACGAATTTTTCAAAAATATACTGTAGTCTGCAAGAAAATACTCTGTTTACCTTGCTACTGCAATATAACTACAGGATAATTGAAAGAATTATACAACATGGTTATAAAAAAGTAATTTTAAATTTTGTAAAATTTGATAGAAATTAAAAAATTAATTTTTTTATTATAAAACAATTAATTCTTCATTAAGAGATGCGTATTAAAGCGTACTAAAGTTGTCATAAAATTGAAAAATATATATAAATGATATTTTATATTATATAGTATACAGTTATTTTTGTTGTGTCGTATGACACAAAAATAACGAGATTGAAATAATTAATTATTATTTTATAATTTACTAATCTCGATTATAATTTAAGAGCTAACATTTAGTACTCTCTATCGCGCGAGATAATAATATTACAAGGCAATAATTATGGAATAATCCACAAAACAGAATTCCCGTGGCACGTATTGTTCGGCGAATATTAAACGCAAACGCGTATATACATTCGGCTGCATTTTCTTGCTTTGTCTTTCGATTCTTATTTTAAGACGAACGTTTGAACAAAAGGACGACTCGATGGAAAAGACTGGCACGAAGATGCGGCGGATAAAAATAAGACGCAAGGCAAGAGCGGAAAGTTTCCGCATTGTTTCGCGACCGAAAGCCACTTAAAAAGTTAAAGAAGCCTCGTTAAAAAGGACGAGCCCTCTCAGAACTGATCCTTTCGCGCGAGAGGAATATCAGAGCTGCTCTGAGAATTCCGTCAAAGTCATCATTGCCACATTTTAAAATCGCTCTCTCTCTCTTCACTTTTCTATGTTCTCAGATTTATAATTAATTGTATAATATAGATTCAAAATTAGTTTTTAAAATTAATTTGAAGAACACTTATTTAATGTTTGCAAATTTTTTTCTAAATATCAAGATTACAAAATATTTTTGTAAAAAAAATTTGCAATTGTTTTACGATAAAACTGTACTATTTAAGTTTAAAATTATTTTGCGCGAGTTAAGTAAAGATTGTTGTCTAATATCTTTAAAAATGATTTCATAGTTACAAAAATTCTGTTGTTTTTCCATTAAATCTTTTGATTAGATTTTGTACTAAAGTCCTCGTTTACTTTTATGCAATTGCATATAATATTGTAAATTCATTCATTTAATCGTATGTCTCCTTCCTCACATATAATTTTTTCACATTAATTATACAAATATCGTATTCCAAAAGTAATTTGTTTTCCAATTTATAACAAATTTTATTGCAATTATATTAAAAATATTAGTATATACAGACATGTACGTAGATATAAAGAATTCTTCTTCTTTAAAAAAAAGATAATAAAGATTACATTTAACTATAGTAATTTAACATTAGTAATGCTAATATTAAATTACTATAGTTAAATGTAATCTTCTATTTTTTTTCATTGTGCAACTGCATTAAAAAAAGTTTTCCTTCTATCCAACGAAGAAAATGTTGAATAGACACATTTGTAATAAAATGTCACGATGCACAATTGTGGCTTATCATTACGTCGACACAGTTTTAACTTTTCATAATGTATATGAAACAATAATAATCGGGCGCTGTACAATCATGCGCTTCCTTTATTTCTTTCTCTCTCGTTCATTCAGTCCTATAATTCCGCATTGTGCTTATTATGACCCTTATTCGAGCTCAACAGAATGCATAATGCACTGTCGAGTCGCGTCAGTTTTGCATCGAGATCATGATCTGGCATTTCTGTCAGTTAAACTCGTATCGCATTTTCTTTTTCGGCATGTCGATCGGTTGCGCAACATAACCGGACGCAACTCGGCATTATTGTGTATCGCGGAGCACGCATTGTTCGCACGGTCGGCCAAAGCTTCTGGATTCAATTGCTCGATATATACGCCAGATTTCGGAAAATTTTTCAGCGTAAACGCGCGCGCACCGCGCGAACGTAATTAGAACGCGGAGTTAACAACAATGCGGCGCGTCCTTCGATTAATTTCCAATTAATTTACGATCGATGCCGATAGTTGATTTGTCGTTGATTCGCGCGCGCAGATGCAATCCCTCCCTTGCTTTACAATGATAATCCGTTATTAATTCACGTCGCACCGCGTATTGTGTCGCGACACAGTCGTCCGCGTGGTGCGTTAATAATTTAACGTGACTTTCTCGCGACAATACAAGTCCAATTAAACACTTAGCGCCGATAGAACGCAAACCGAAAAATGGTCAACCTCCGAACATAGTCTTTTATCTCGGAGTATATATTTCTCGTGGTGAAATATATATTGTTAGTAAAAATCGTGAATCCAAAACATGCGAAAACATTTATTTAATTCGAATAAGTATTTATTTCAATATTGCCAAATAAATCATTTATTTCAAACTAATAATATTTATTTAATATAAAAAATATATATTTGATATAAGAAAATCCTTTTTAAAACAAATAAATATTTATTTGTTTCAAATAAATGATTTTATTTGGCAGTATCGAACTAAATATGTATTAATTTAGTCATTTTTTTCAGTGTAAGCAAACTGATTTGTAGTAGATAACAAATAATAAACAAAGAAAAAGAGAGAAAACAGGTCTGTTTAAAATGATGAAAAAAGAAGAAATGCATAAGGAAGTACACTGCTATAGAATTAAAATAATAAATAAAAAATTTATAATGGTAGAAATGGAGTTAAAGATGAAATTGGGTATTTATTGGACTCACCTGCAGAGGCAAAAAGCGATTTCCACGGAATGCTTGTGATTGGCGGTCTTGTAGAAATGCTGCAACGCTTCCATGCACTCGTTCCTCGCGCATGTCGTCGAGTCGCAATGATTCAGAACGGGCTGCAGCAGGTTCTTGCATTCCGGATCGTTTCTGCGCGAGAAGAAAGAGTCTTCGTGTAGCTTATTCGATGTGTAATCGATGTCGCGATTACTGGATCTAAAACTTACTTGCAAGATGTATAAGCGTGTTGACACGTGCTGGTCAAAATCAGTTTAACTGGCTGCTGAATTCTGTCGATGTCCGATGTGGAGGATGATAACATCACGCCTGTTTCTGTTAAACAAAACGTATCACTGAATGAAAAATGATAAACTATTTTAGCTTATTTCCATGTGATTTTAATCCTTTTGTATGCATTTTCTTATGCTATGGAAGAAAATTGCTCGCGAAAGCAGTTAATTTAAAATCTAATTATTGTATCATAATGTACCTTTTTCCAACGAGTCGATCTATTATTATAAATTGTAAAGATAAAGATTGAAAAAAAATGTAGAAGTTAAGAAAGAGTTTAATGTCTGTAAAAGAGAAATATAAAATACGGTTTCGCGATTCATCGTGATTTATAAGAATTTCTAAGAGAATGCTATCACATACACCCGCACATTCACAAAATGTCTTGCTTGAAATTTATATTGATCAAATATGCGTAGAAAAATAACGAAATAAAATTTTCATTATAACGGGCAAAACTTTTCCAATTAGCGGCGTGTTATGCAGTTGTATCTCAGGCACGACCGCATTTGATAAATTGTGAAAAGCATCGTTTATCATGAATACGTCTACTATTGTATGCGCGCGACGTGAAGGTTCTTTCAGCACAAATTGAAACGCGAGCTTCCATCATCGATCGTAACATCGAGCGCAACACTGTTCCTCGAAAGAGATCGACATCGACGTAGTTAAATATGGTAGCCTGAGCTACCTCTCCGTCTATACGTAATGCACTGTTTACACAGCCACTGGGGAGACCCACTTTTCTCACCAGTGGACACGAATAAATGATAAATCATCAACGTCGAGTGCATCGACGCGCTGTAGAGGAGAGCGATGGATATCGTCGATGGATATTTATTTCCAGAGCTTCGTTAACGCTCATAAATTCCAATCAGAGCGAGCAGTTAATTTCTCATTATCATTTAACTGCAATAATGTTATTAAAACCTACAAAATTTTTCGATCTAATTTGATTAAAAGTAAAAAACCAAATTGATCAAGCCAAATTATTCTGACCTCTTAAATGAATATTTTCTCAGTAAATTTCCAGAGAAGAAAAATCAATATTTTGCGCTACCGAATAGTCTCGCGATTGGAAACGTAACAATGGACCATCGTAGAAATGTTTGTTGCAATTTTCAATTCTGTAACACAGACTCGAATCCAACAAGTAATTGTCATGGGAGGAAGAAAAAGGTATTTCCACACGATGACGAATGAGTCATCATTAACTAACGAATCTCTCACTCTCTCTCTCTCTCTCTCTCTCTCTCTCTCTCTTCGATTGATGAACTCCGGTGACCGGGGTTAACGATCGCAGGAAAAGAAGCGCTGGTGAATATAGAGAAGAAAGAACGCGGAGCTACCTTTTTGGTCGCATAGAAGGGGAAAAAAGGGTCTAGGATTCCCCATGAGAAGAGCCGCCCTACCAGATGACTGGCCATAAGTCAACACCACCATAGCGAGTGTGGCTACGACGCACTTTATTAAGACAAACGAGCGACCACCAAATCCCTCCGTAGCCCTTCGGAGTCCTTAATCGCACCCCTGAATCGTTTGTAGGCTGCGTATATTTGTTTCGACATATACAGAAAGGAATACCGATTACTAATTTCAAGTTTCAATCAAAGCGCCGGTTTTTATCGAAGATAAAGAATTTCCACAAAAAATTGCGATATACTGAAACTGTTAGTTGGATGTGAATATTTTTTCAAGTTATTCTAATTTTTGATCAAAGTAATATAAAAATTAATTCGAAATGCCAGTTTTAAAACCGACATTGTTATTTTTTAACTAGCAGACTCATCTGACAATTTCAAATAATTTTATTATATTCAATTATTAATCAAGCGAATTTAAAGAGCAATTAAAATGTCTCGTTTTCGTTTTATTTTCAGTAATTTAATAAAAATCGGAAGAGTCACATATATCATCGAGACCGCGGATATCGAAGCTTGACACGATTGAAATGTATTTCAAAGATTGTCAGCACGTAAATCGGAACACGCATCAAGCATTTCCGATAGAATATCGATATCGCAAGTTCCCGATCCGTTCGGCGCGTTGCAGGAAGGAGAACAAGGGCAATTCCGGACGACGGTAATTGAAACTCGTGTCGCACCAGCTTCTCGAGATCGATGCCGAACTTGCTTTTGCTCGTCGCGATGAGATATATCGCGGTTTCTCAGTCAGGTGAGGATCTCTTCGGTGACACAGGTGCGCGGATGCAGAAACTCGCTTGGCTAGTCATTAGACTCTCGAACGAACGAGATCATTTTGCTCATGGAGAATGCAGCCAGCTAAAACGCTGCGAGTAAAACACGTGCTCATCTTATGCTCAGCACTTAGGCTAATGATGGCAAATATAAGCTACACTTTTCGTCTGTCGCGAGAGAAATTGTGTTCATCTCAAATAAAAGATATTCTTGATATTCAGATTTTAATATTTATATAACGCTACTAATTAATTATATGTAAAATCAGATGTTAATATTACGCATCAAAAATTTGATATAAAGAAAAGCATCAAATAAAGTTCATATTATCATCAATTCTTTGACTGATCGGCAACTTTGATTACTATTTTTGTGTCAGTCATCTTGAAGAGAGTTAATTCGCACAAATAACTCGTACAACGCATCAGACAAATTCACGCGCGCGTTCTGTAAAATAAATTGAGAAATTGTGTTTATCTCAAATAAAAGATATACTTGATATTCAGATTTTAATATTTATATAACGCTACTAATTAATTATATGTAAAATCAGATGTTAATATTACGCATCAAAAATTTGATATAAAGAATAGCATCAAATAAAGTTCATATTATCATCAATTCTTTGACTGATCGACAACTTTGATTACTATTTTTGTGTCAGTCATTTTGAAGAGAGTTAATTCGCACAAATAACTCGTACAACGCATCAGACAAATTCACGCGCGCGTTCTGTAGAATAGATTCTGCAAAATGGGACGCAATCAGACATATCACATAGAAATGATGAAATATGACAGAAGCTGTCAGGACGCTTGAAACCTCGGCAAAATCCAGATTGTAATTTATTCCTAGGTTTCATGTTTCTGTGACTTCTATTAAACTTCACTTATTACTACACCCAGAAATAACCGGAATCGTAAATGCGTCTTTCGAGCTCGCGGCCGCGATTTTTGTCGCGATGCCTCGCGAAGTTGACGGAAATGCAAACCGTCGGTTAACGAAATTGCAAGTTCAACGTCAACGCTCAACGTGACTTGTCTGTATTCGTATTGCATATTCAGCTCAGACATTAAACTGGCGAGAAGCATACCCTGACATTGCGCGATACTAACGATTGAATGCGGTTCTTAAAGAGGATCAAGATTCATAGTGTAATTCACTTTCTCACTCGTTGCAAGTTTGAGAAATCCAAAGCCACTTATTCTTATCTGTGAATTTTAACGTTCAACTGATGAAATTGTAACACTGTTAAATTCGTAACACAGTCAATTTCGAAAATAAATTTTGATGGTATTTGTTCTTTACATTTTAACGAACGATTTCATCATGTCAGTTCTTCGAATAATTCTCATTATTTGATTTAAAAATTAAGCATTTGATATAAAAATTAAATCAGGTAAAATTAAATCAAGACACTTATCACTGTAATAAGTCTATGACACGCGCTGAAGGTATTTCTATAAAACTAATATTATATTTCAAACTATTCTTTCTCGTACACGCGAGCAATTTTTATACCCGCCACGTCATATTTTACTATTCACAGGTCATGTTATATTTTATTATAAAGTGTAAACTAAATAGTGTTGTTTAAAATTTTATTACATTTGACTGTATAACTAAATAAATATAAATATAAATGTAAATATAATATATACGCAAACACACACCAAGAAACTAAGTTTGAATAGAAATAAAAATAGAAAAACTTCTTCTATTTTTAATTTGCATTTTCCGTGATAACATATTAATTTGACCATTTTTTAAAATAAGGTGATTATATATAATAAACTATTCAATATGTAAAATAAAAAGAAAATGTACAATCTGTCTCCATTGTAACAATTAATGAAGAAGCGAGTGAATGAACTAATTAATTATTAACCTACTGTAGAGCGCAGTCTTGATTTTATCGGTTATTTATATATTTGAAACCACAATGCATATCCGTAATTGATCGGCCAACCGAGTAATTAGCGCAGCTGTAATTGAGAGAAAATCGCTTAAAAAAGAAGTGCGCAAAGCGCTGAGCAGCGTTTCCCAATCGCAATTGCATTTCCCATATTTGACGTTAATTGGCCACGCAGGCAATTAGTTACAGCAATAATTATAGAGAAACAAGATCCGCGTCGGTGCCAAAAACGTCGGCTAATCGCGGCTGTTATTTATGAATGATGTTAGACAAAAAATTTACCAACAGTCTAGTGTGATTGTACTTTAACCAATGGAGCTAATTTACGTAATTTCGCGCTCACTATGGCCTCATTTTCGTAGCTTAATTTAACTGATTATTAATTAAATTGGCTTATTTATGTTGTGTTTTCAACAAACTGTGACATTTGTCATATTTTAGAAAAAAGTCAAATAAATCCTAATTTTCAAGCTGCAAGATAAGCATGATTAACTGTTCTAACTTTAAAACATGCAAAAATGGGAAAAACGTTTCAATTCATCGAATAAAAGATTCATTTTTAAAATTTTCTTTTACTGTTACCATACATATAGCGTACATATAATCCTATGCACTATATTATATTTTATATTTCAGCTACTGTTATTTTAGAAAAAAAGTAACGTAATATAATAAAACTTGGAAATTTTCAAATAATTGACTTTTACATGTTTAATTCTCTTATAATTTTTTAATTACTCAGATGTCAGTGTATATAGAATATCATATAGAATATAGAATATAGAATGTATACAGAATATCACGAACATTGACCGATTAATAAGAAATTGTGCAACAGTCTGTTAATTAATTACAAAAGCGCGCGAGAGATTATTAGATACAATTTTAATTATTGCGGTTACTTTTTTGTACTGTTAATTGCTGCAGTAAAATTCCAATGAGTCAATCTTGATACGTGTGCACGCGGGTTTTTTTCCATATTTTTCTTTTTCCTTTTTTTTCACGTTCATCATTCCCTTGGACACAACGTACAAATAAATAGTGATACGTGACATAGCACAAATTGTTATCGACGAAACTAAACAAACGTACTATTATAATTATTAACGTATGAGTAAGCGCTGTGATGTTCATCGAAGATACATATGATCAATTGACAATATTTCGCATGCTACAATGTTTTGAGAGAGAGAGAGAGAGAGCAAATTTTTATACAATTTATTAAAGTGATCGAATAACAGAAAACAAATTTTTTTATTTAGAAATTTAGCTCTGAAATTTGTCAGATTGTAGACGATAAGCGAATTTGATCGGAAAGATTGGAATCTCACTTGAGTTATCATATTGCAAATAAAATTTTTATTTATTTCTTTCGACAAAAAAATCAATTAAAAAATAGATTAAATTCTTTAACAGCAAAAAATTGGTGGAAAAAAGAAATAACAAGAAATCAAGATATTTTTGTGGCTATAAATCCGCAACTTCGCAGATTTGTTTTTTTTTTTGGAATTTTATTTTGCTCGATAATTTCTCCGAGTTATTCTAAAATTGAAAAGACAGTTACATACAAATAAGTAAGGAGAAAACTCGAAAATACAAACAGAACAGAATTAGTCTGTTTACGACCACTATTTTTCTCAATCAATAAAGAATGAGAGATCGGCTGAGTGCGCTTGCTTTTCCAGGCGTGCCTCTCTTGAGAATCTGAGAAACGAGGATCAATGTATGTAAAACCTTACTATGATATCGAATACGACGAAAACTTGGGCAAATCTTGGGCACGATGGCGGATTAAAGTTCGAAATCCGGCGGCTCGAGAAATAATATGCGGACGCGCAAGAGAGATACGAGAAGCGGCAGGAAATGAGAGCAACCGGAGAGAGAGTCGAAATTAAATTAAACTTTCGCCGCGATAAATCTTACTCGTTGAGGTGATATCTTCGCGAGATATTACGTCGGAGATGCGATCGATCGTCCGCTCTTTCATCGCGTCGACGAAAGATCGCGATCGTTGAAGTCTGAAGATTAATTCCTATTATTTGCCCGTTCTATCATTTATCTTGATTACTTGCGAATTAGTAATTACTGATATTATATTTTTGCACTTTTTTATCTATGTATTTTCTGAAATCCTTTTTATATTTATAAAGTTTATATAAAGATCTGCGCCGTAATTAATATACTTATGCTATCGTTTCAGCTTTCTTTTTCATTATATGAAGAAGTAGATATATTTCTCTTTTTCATTATATTTTATATAACTTTTTTTAAATATTGCAATGTTCTATATAATCTTAATTCTATGTATAATTTGTATATATTCACAATTACAATTAATAAAATAATAAATATATAATTAAGTATAAATATGTAAATTTTAAATAATAAAACTAAGACTATATTTGCAATATATATAATAAATAAAATAAATAAAATACTTTAGAGAAGTAAAAGTTAAAAAAAATCAGTTCTGGTTGGTATTTCAATATATATATCAAGTGAAGCAATTTATTTATTCGTGTGTGTAATAAACTTGCACATGGAAATATATTTTTTACACGAAAACTAATGAATTTCATTTTGGTGCATTGAATCGGCTCACTGGGAAGCATTTTTATTGTAATTGATTATCATTATTCGATATTGAAACGGATATGTTTTTTTTCTGTCAGGAACACGAAAAATTATTTCGGATGCACGAAGATTTACCCAACCGCGATGTAATTAATATTCTCAGCGCGAGTATTGTTATAAATTTTTAAAATTCTATTGTGCAATACTACAAACTTTATTTCTCTCTTTTTATCTCGCTTTCTGTATTTGTTGTAGTATATAAACAGATTTAAATAAAAAAAACTTTACCGCGTATCACACGTTTATTCCTCGCGTATAACAATTTTTATCTTCATTTTTTTTCTTAAAGAAGAGTACTCCATTTTTTTCTGTATCTCTATACGCCTCATAAAGATAAAAAATTGGCAATACGCGTTCTTGTATAAAACGATTTACTGTCGTTTGTCGAAACTCAATGACAATTACCGCAACACAATTTACAAAGTAATATACATAAAAATGTTCTCGTATACTCATTTTCTCTAGGTTTTTCCTCACGCGAATCTCACTTATCCGTCAACGATGCGCTGTCGCGGGCAGTTATTTGCAGGAAGATATGAATTTGCGCGGCACATTAAAACAAATGGAATTTTCCATGACGTGCAGCAGCGATGTTGCGACATTTTTAACCCACCGCCACAGGCAGAAATGATCATCTTGGTGGAAAAATTTATGATCCCGCATCGGGCGCGTTGTTACTTGTGCTGATTGCGCGCAATTTGTGCTAGAATATCGACGAAAGCGGTCGTTGGCAGTTTTTTTACGCATTATTTTGCACACGATAACTCATGGCAACGACCAGAGCGAGATAATTTAAATAATTCAATTTTTAAATTATAAAACATGTATTTGACAGTAAATATATATATATATTACAATTTTAAATAATTTTTATATCCTCTCGTTATATGTCTGTTTAATAGAAAGAATCTGTATAATTAATAATATATATTTCTAAGAATTTCAATACTGTGATATTTCACGATATATTATCATCTGTCTTAATTAAAAAAAAACTGTCTTAATTTAGTATTTAGTTGAAGAAATCAAGTCAAATTAAATCAGTCACATTTATTTTGCAGTATTCATTTTCAATCACACATGGCCACATTCTCGATTAAATAATAATATATTAAACATATTAAAAGTAAGATTACAATTGCGATGAAAAACTTACGTTCGAAATCATCCGTTTGGTTTTTCTTGTGATGCGCGCGATGATGATGGTTGATCGGGATAGGAATTTGCTTCATGGCGAGTAAATCCCGATGCTTAGTGTCGATCAGTGGATTCTCCAATTGCGACTCGATCACTTCGTAGCTGGTGGAATTGTCGGGATGGGCGATGACCTTCACTGTAAACGACCGGGCGTAACAAGTTGCGCACAGAGAATGCAATCTTCGCAATAAATCCACGCGAAAGAGGACATCCTTTAACAGGATCTTTCATCCATCTCCCTTGATGAAGAGGAAACGGAAGAAAAATCGCGATCGCGCGCAATTTTGAAAAGCATCAGAAAAATCGCACCCGTTCGAAATTACAGCTACGCTTAGCGAGTGAATTTGCACGCGGAAGTTGTTGCGAAATTGCAAAAGTATCTCCTTTGAAAATTCTATGAAAATATTTATGCGCGAAATTTGCTGTGAATAATGCCGCGGCGCAACGCAATGAGTCTGAGCAATTAATGCGACGAAATTGAAAGCTTTTTTCCCCGGCTGCTGCTGTCGCATCTGAATGCGAGAACGAGGCAAATGATTAATCACGACTTTCTGACCCGTCTTAAGGGTACTCAAGTGCATTAAATGAAATTTTATCTTGCTAAATAAAGAAATAAGCAAAGAAGCTATTGTCCATCCACCTGCAACAAAATCTATTCTATTTTTTCATTAATAAGAAAAGTCTATCAGATAATTAAGAATCTCGAGGCTTAATGTGAACAATTCTCTAATGATTGAGATTTGTGTTCGATAATAATAATAATATGATACCTAATAATAAAAAATATACGACTATTAAAATGTATAATCTTTGATTCTAAAGTAAAATATTATTTCATACTAATATTTTTTTTCACTTTTATATAATATTTATATAAAAAATGTATTTTATTATTTTTTAATTTTTAAATTCGAATAATCCTTACATTAATATTAATGTAATTAATGAGATAAAATACTTGTAAATTTTAATATTTAAAAAAATGTTATTAATTTAAATGTAATTAAAAAATTGTCTCTAAAAAACTAAAATAATTCCATATAATAAACTTGGCATTATAAAACGATATTTGATAATTAATTATTTGAAATCTTGTTTGCCGTTCTCTCTTGTTATCGAAAATTTATTCACATTAATTCTCTCTGTCATTATTTTTATACGACAGCGCAAAATATATTTTTATCATAAATAATCAATATCTATTGCAAATAATCAGTTCCTTTTGCTATCAAATAAATTATTGAAGCAAATTACGTTGACAGACAGACGGTATAGCAAAAATATTCTCATTTTTTGATATCAATTTATTCATAACGGAGAAAGCAACTTTAAAAAATGTCTCTGATACCTGATTAATATAATTCTATGATTTATACAATATAAATCATTATAATGAATAATTAAACAAATTTAAAAATAAAAGTAATATATTTTTTTCTTTCGATTAACCGATTCGAATTTTTCAAAATCTTTGAACCTGAATTTTCTTCCATTTGAAATTTCTCGAATCCGTTGCTGTCAAAGTACGATCGAAGAAAAGACACGAATTGTGTCCATCGCAGTATGCTCGGCATAGTCTCGCGCGGTCTGCCACTTTTGTTCTCCCTACCCTAAACGTATCTCAGGCCTTCTCAAAAATAGAGATATCCCTTGAGGCGCCCTCGACGGGCCCAGTACGAACCTTGGTCGACGAACCCTTCGAAGACCTGGGTGAGATCGAAGAGCCGGTCGACGGGCAGCGCGCCTGGCTTGATCTCGTCATCGAAATCGTCGTCGTCGACGATCGCGCGGTGCTCGTAGGTGGGTCTGGGCGCGAACTTCCTCGGGGCCGACAGCCGGGGCGGCTCGTGGCCGGGCCCGCGTGCCCCTAAGGGCTCGTCCAGCACGGTAGGCGTGGGACGAGCGGCCGCCGACGCGTACGAGCCCGCCGACGACGACGACAGCGTCACGACGACGGACGGCGGTGCAGGTAGTGCAGGGTGCTCACGATGGTGGTGGTGCTGGTGATGGTGGTGTTGGTGCCGATGCTGGTGCAGGTGCGCGTCATGCTCGCTTTGGGGCTGCAGGTGCACTGTGCTGGAGGCGCGATCATGCTTGGACAACGAAGAAGAAGAAGAAGAAGAAGAAGAAGAAGAAGAAGAAGAAGAGAGAAGAGAAGAAGAAGAAGAAGAAGAAGAAGAAGAGAAGAGAGGAAGGAAGAAGATCCATCTGTCGATCGATCCGGATGATCAGCACCTGGAGGACGCGAGGTCGCCGCGCGATCCTCGTACCGATTTACATCGATCTTGTACCGGTGCGAATCGATTCGAGGATCGTACGTCTCGACGACGAGGACGGCTGGCTTGCCGGGTAGCTCCGGCGCCTCCTGGTAACCATGATGATGCCGATTGCCATGACGGTGGTGGTCTTGGCGTCGGTCGCCGGGCTCCCGTAAGTCGTACGTGCTGTCGGGGTCGTAGAACGATGGGGTGCGCGCGGTTCCGGGGAACAGAAAATAGGGGTACATACTGGTCGGTGGCAACCAGATCTCCTGGTAGTTCTCCTGCTGCGGGTCGAACGGGTACAGGGCCGAATCCGTGCCCGACAGGTCTACGGAGGTGGAAGAGGGCAGGACCTCTGTAACACAGAAGCAGAGCCGCGGACGAGAACGGAGTGAGTGAGGGTGCGCGTTCGCCATCGGTAACGCAACGTGCGGGGTCTGCGTGCTGTTGTTGTAGGGTAAAGTGTCGTGGTGATCATGATGATGATGATGATGATGATGATGATGATGATAGTAATTATGGTGGTGCATCGGCATTGACGGACATTGACGAAGGATCGTCGAGAAGAGGAGATTTCGACACGATATCGATTAGAGAATCATATATCAACTTGTATCTGTCGCGACTTAAAGAATTGCATAGACGCTCGATATGTTATCGATGTTTCGAAATATTTAATGAAAATAAACGAGTAAATGTAACACTACATATCGCGAATTAATTGGGAATTATTTAATTATTAAATGGATCCATATATATTTGTATTTTTTTGGAAATTTTATATGAATGTCGGACATTTTTTAAGCGACAGAAAAATTTGTTAAAGTAAATAGATATAAATAACATTATAAAGATAACGATTGTGAGATGTTCAATTAAAAATGCATTTAAATCTCTAAATCTTCTAAAAAAATCTAGGTTACATATTGCTTGTTTAAATGGAATATTTAATTCCCTTATTCTCATTGTTTGATAAAATTTAATTTAAAAAATATTAATATTTTTACACGGTTTTTTTTTTAAATCATTATATATTTATATTTATTTTCATTTATGAGTTTTTTTATTAATAATTATTGTTTCTTACCAAATATTTGATTAAAATGTTAATTTTTCAAGTTTTTGTCAATTTTTGGAAAATTAAATTGTGAAAATTTTTCCATGTAAGAAATTATGAGATAAAAAAATATGATAATGCTCTTATATTTATATTTTTATATTTCATACCTTAAGAAAATAAATGTCATATCATATAAGTATATAAGGTAAATTATACTGAAAGAAGCATTATACGCAGAATAATAATTATAGAAAGGAGATATACACACGGAAATAAACCTAGACAATTGTACCATGTTGCATATAAGATAATCAAGGAACAATGCTTCGTTGCAGACCGTGATATCCAATTATTTTTGAAATGAATATCAAACGGATGTATTCATAGAAATTGTAACGTCCGTAAATAAATAAATAGATAAATAAACTTGTTATTATTGGATTCTTTTAATAGTCGGTTAAAATCTCTTTTTGTTGTAGCGTATTTTTAATATACTCGTATTTTTAATGTTTTCTACCAAATAATATAATAATAGATAATTGAGATAAAAACATTAGTAATACACACAGAAAAACTTTGATTCTGTTTCGTAAGTATACTCGCAATAAAAAACGTCAGTATTATTAGATATATTAAATATGAAAGCAAATCGTAGTTAAAAGTGAAGATTTGGCTAATTATTATATATAATTTAGTGTACTTATTGTATTTCAAATTACTTACAAAAATTAGATCGAGTTACGTAGAAGAGAAGAAATCAATGGTATATGTTATTGCAGATAGCCTTTAAAAACGAATATTAAGCAGAGATATACTTAAGCAAATAATAACGCAAGATCTTCTTTCCATTAATTAAAAAATTCACTTTTATCGCGATTCGCTTTTAATTCTTTAGCTCTCGATTGGCATAAAACTAATTTGATCCAATTGCTTTTGCAAAACGGATAACAAACGCAAATACACTCGGAAAATCATGAAATGGTGTTTAAGAGGAAATGGTAAGTGCCATTTAAACCAATTCGCGATTCAATCGAAACCAATTTAAGTTCAATCCTCAAAACCAATCCTCGAGTTCAATGCTTTTAAAGTCAATTACATAATTCGATCCCATATAGTGCACTTTTACATTTACATTTCCCACATGTTTCAATAATGTCTCAAATGGATGCGGCCAATGAATTATCTAATTTTTCTTCAAAACAGACCATTTCTATCATCGACGTTTTCTACGTTATTAAACTGCTTGCGCAATTAATCAATTGTAAGTTACTTCGTTATTGACAAACCGCAAATATCACTGTGACGATGTCGACATTTTTTTTTTTTTCATTCGCCAGACGCGATGCGAAATAAAAAGCTGGCAAGAATACGAAGTTAAACGAACCGGCCGATAATCGAAATCGACAGACGACTCCTCTTGAGAGGATCTTCGAGGCTCCTTCGAGGATTCCGCCGAAACCTGAAACTCCATTCAGAGAGCCGAGGGATCCTCGCATTGAGCGTTACTGCACGCGAGAAATTATCCCGGAATGACGCGGTACTTGCCGAGCGTGATTTCGTTCTTAAGAGATTTTGGGATTCCCATAGGATCGTCCCTAGGCTGCCGACCAGGAGCGTTAGCCTTCCGTTCCACGTCGATCGTTTATAAATGAAATGGAGATCCGAATTAATTATTCGTACCGGGCGCGTACCATTTCCTCACCTCACATTTAATTATGCATTATATTCTTTTTATCGTTTTTTACGTTCTTTATTTGGACAATTTTTTATTGCGAGTTTGGTAAATTTGCAATTAAAATGAACAAATCGAGATATTATTTGTATATACATTTATATAAATTTATAATCCGGTTTATGACTATGGATTTTATATCTTGATAAGGGAATTAGATGTATCATTAAATATATGAATTAATTTTGTGATTTTTTTATGTTCTCGAGCAAAATATATTATGTTTGTAAGACGGAAAGTTTGACAAGATACCTCGCTATACTCACCTATTGGATATTTTTAACAGAAATATAGAGAAACGACATTAAAATATTTTAGACAAATGAATTTTTATTGTGAAACTTATTTTCGTCGTTGATGCGATTAATTTGCCGTCGAATGAATTCTGACAACGATCCGGTGTCTTCCGTTAAATCGTTCGACGATGCTGAGGAACGAAGGGAAGAGTATAGTGAGTCGAGTACAGAGAGTAGATAGAGTCGTAGTAGGCGCTACACACACTAACAGGCTACACACTTTAGATAGAAAACAAGCTGTAAGTTACAGGCATGCGGGTGCCGATTCATCGATTCTCCAGTGCGGATTCTCAGACATGCAAAAGTACGACATGCGGTGCACGATTCCTGATGCGCTCCGCCCTGTAGGATCATCCGGGAGGCTTATCGCCTCCACCCTGGACTCGCGGTTCATCCGTCAAGCGCCCGCGTTTCATATTTCACGATGAGCAATCTTAACCGATCGTGACGTCGAGATTCGTCCTGGTAGATTTACGATAACACAAAAGAAAATTGCAAGTGTCGATACGAGCCATCGAATCCTGTCAGACATCTTATCGCGCTAGATCCGGCATAAGCATTGATAAGTCAATGACGTTCATGAATTAAAGTGTGATAGAAAATTGGAAAATATTGGCTCTGGAAACGACGTGAAAACACACTTGAAGGAGGAAACAAATAAACGTAATAATAATAATTAAGGAGAAAATTGCAAGTGTTGATACGAGACATCGAATCCTGTCAGTCATCTTATCGCGCTAGATCCGGCATAAGCATTGATAAGTCAATGACGTTCATGAATTAAAGTGTGATAGAAAATTGGAAAATATTGGAAACGACGTGAAAACACACTTGAAGGAGGAAACAAATAAACGTAATAATAATAATTAAGGAGAAAATTGCAAGTGTCGAGCCATCGAATCCTGACAGTCATCTTATCGCGCTAGATCCGGCATAAGCATTGATAAGTCAATGACGTTCATGAATTAAAGTGTGATAGAAAATTGGAAAATATTGGCTCTGGAAACGACGTGAAAACACACTTGAAGGAGGAAACAAATAAACGTAATAATAATAATTAAGGAGAAAATTGCAAGTGTTGATACGAGACATCGAATCCTGTCAGTCATCTTATCGCGCTAGATCCGGCATAAGCATTGATAAGTCAATGACGTTCATGAATTAAAGTGTGATAGAAAATTGGAAAATATTGGCTCTGGAAACGACGTGAAAACACACTTGAAGGAGGAAACAAATAAACGTAATAATAATAATTAAGGAGAAAATTGCAAGTGTCGAGCCATCGAATCCTGACAGTCATCTTATCGCGCTAGATCCGGCATAAGCATTGATAAGTCAATGACGTTCATGAATTAAAGTGTGATAGAAAATTGGAAAATATTGGCTCTAGAAACAACGTGAAAACACACTTGAAGGAGGAAACAAATAAACGTAATAATAATAATTAAGGAGAAAATTGCAAGTGTTGATACGAGACATCGAATCCTGTCAGTCATCTTATCGCGCTAGATCCGGCATAAGCATTGATAAGTCAATGACGTTCATGAATTAAAGTGTGATAGAAAATTGGAAAATATTGGCTCTAGAAACAACGTGAAAACACACTTGAAGGAGGAAACAAATAAACGTAATAATAATAATTAAGGAGAAAATTGCAAGTGTTGATACGAGACATCGAATCCTGTCAGTCATCTTATCGCGCTAGATCCGGCATAAGCATTGATAAATCAATGACGTTCATGAATTAAAGTGTGATAGAAAATTGGAAAATATTGGAAACAACGTGAAAACACACTTGAAAGAGGAAACAAATAAACGTAATAATAATAATCAAGGTATAAAAATGCCTTGTGTCAATTATTCAATAGAGACTACAGAAGGAAGTAAATCAATTTGGTAATGTGTGCAAAGATATATCGTTACGATAAGGAACGCGGTCATTAATATTAAAATAGCGAATTCGAGCTAAGCTAAGAGTCGTACAATCGCGAATATTATGCAGCAATATTCCCATGACGGTGCTTCGTCTCGATAGCATTTTCCCCATCTCCTCGATTTATCTCGCGGTCGTTTGTCGATTGGGCGCGAGCAATCGCGCGGCGCGTCGAAATATTCATGGTGTACATATATTTATATACACACATGGTGGAAATACACATATATATATATATATATATATATATGTACATATACACACACATACACACATATATATGTATATATATATATAAAATACATATATAGACACACATGTGCTGTGGGATCGC